TATGCTTTTATTTATTATTATTTTTTAATTAACTATTTTTTTTCCAAACCATTGTTAGATGCAGTGTTTCCTGTAGTTATGCAAAGATTTGGTTTCAAAAACAGTATCATAGCTATTAAATTATATCTTGTAATGATTTTAAATCTGTACTGTCTCCAAGTAAAAAGCAACAAAAAGAGGTGCTAAAGTCTGATTTTGTGGTGGCTGTGCTTTAAAATTAAATTATTATAATCGTATATTCAAGTGATGAAGGATTTTGAAAGTCTGACAGTAATCAGTGTTGGGTGCTACTGTAAGGTTAACACTGCCTGCTTTAAATGTTTGTAAATGATTAACAGTTCAGAGAAAAAAAAATAGGAAAAAAAATCAGAAATGTAACTTTAGAAAAGTAATCAAATGTAATCAGTTACATTAATAAAGTAATTGAAATAGTTACACTACGTATTCCATTTTAAATAGGGTAACTTGTAATCTGTAACCTATTACATTTCCAAAGTAACCTTCCCAACACTATTTACCCTATATATATATATATACATACATACAGAGACTTAAATGCAAATTACATTAGATTTTTTTTCAAAGGCTTTAAAATACAAAATCAAAAAAGTATTTTGTATTTCAAATACGTATTTATATTTTATAATATATATAAATTATTAAGCTAATAAGGGGATAACCTTTCAGAATGTGATCAGTAATTATGATAGTTACTTGTTAACAACGGACCATTATTCTAAAGTGTTACCATGTTTCTGCAATACTGTCATACAATATTACTCATATTTTAATCTGATAACGTTCTAATTGACAAAATTTGGAAAAGTAATCAAAAAGTAATCAAATGTAATCAGTTACATTAATAAAGTAATTGAAATTTTAAATAGGGTAACTTGTAATCTGTAACCTATTACATTTCCAAAGTAACCTTCCCAACACTATATATATATATATATAAGGCTTTAAAATACAAAATAGTATTTTGTATTTCAAATATGTATTTTAAATACATGTATCTGAAATACTGCCCATTACTATATATATATATATATATATAATTATTAAGCTTATATAAGGGAATTATATAAGGGAATAATATTTCAGAATGTGATCAGTAATTATGCTAGACATTAGTAACGGGTTTAATACAGGGAAATCACTGGTCATTGAGAGGTCAAGGCGCACCAAACGTCAGAGGCTCAGCATTACCCAATCCTGTTTCTGCAATACTGTCATTAATTCACAATATTACTCATATTTCAATCTGCTAACGTTCAAAATGACAAAATATCACTAAACGACCTAAACAATGAGGGCATGATGACTAAGTCGGCGCAAAAAGTCATACGCAGACTACAAATGGGCGGAGTTCAGACGCGAATAAAAAGCAGGGCCGATCGGCCAGAGCGCATACTGTCCTGACATTACACCGCTCTCATCAGGTCGGCGCTTTCTCTCTTGTCAGGTTTCTGAAGTCAGCGTTTCAAAGGCACCTTGTCTTTGGAAGCAACTTGATTTTGGAAATCCAACGCGTTTGTTTCTGTCCGCATTTCCCCGTGAAGAGCCCGTTCCGCGCGCCACTGAAGAAGATGAGCCGCTCGCGCTGTGTTCCTCTGCTGCTGTTAGTGCTCTGCGGAGCCGCTGAGTTCGCCGAAGCCTGCAGCTGCTCTCCTGAACATCCTCAGCAGGCGTATTGCAATGCGGATGTCGGTAAGACTCCATGCTTGTAACTAGTTAATATTCATAACCATGTCTGTATTATATTAATACAATGCCGTGTGCGTATTTCAGCAGGTCTAACTCTGTTCATAATATGACAGACAGCACCTGACAGCTTCTTTTATTCTAAAAATATGGTAAACTTTTTTTAAGTGATGATTTCGTAGATATTTGGACTGCATTCAATAGTGTTTAATTCCAAATGCTAAAGGAAACCAGCAATTTATTTAAGATTTCATTCATAGTAGTGGACAGAACCACAGAAGTAGATTCTAATAGGCTCTGGGGTCAGAATATTAAAAGTGTTTATGTGCTATGCTGTTATTCATATAACAGGGCTCTCAAAAGGGCACAACAGGGTCCAGCATTTTAGCTGTCTTGATAGTTTTTGTGTGTGTAATTTATCACTCTAACACTATTTTACAGAGTCCTTGTGACTCGTAACATATTGCCTACTTAATATAGCAGTAACAGTAAATTATCCATAATTCCAAGCAACTAACCCTAAACCAAACCTTAAACCTATATGGCACATGTTAATTAACTATATAAAATATTGTGTTAATGTTTCTAGATAATCCAATGAATTATATACCATAGAAATGAAATGTACTTTAAATCTCTTTCTTTGAAGCTTCATGGGCAAAAACTAAAGGGTAAGCTTATTACATTACATAATAGCGGAGTTAAAACAAAAGACTCAAAAACGATTCTGTGGTTAAACTCTGAATGGATGAGTCACATCATAAGTCATTATAAAGCAATTTAACACACACCTGTTCACATAATATCAAGGTGTGATGCACTTGGCAACAATAAATTACCACAAAAACTAGCCTTCACATTGTCTGTATGACACACAGTACACCTATTAATAATAACAAGTTCTGCTAATTCTTAACACTCACACATAATCTTTCTATTTGCATTATTCCATTTATATTCCTCACTCTAGCATGTAAATAACATAAAGCAGTCTTGTCCACTGATAGCTGTGCAAGTATGTACCACTATTGTGCAGTATATACCTAATAATGTTGAAGTGATGGGAGAGAATCGTAGGCCTAATTTGAGCTTTATTTCATCACTGTGTGTAACCTGCCTCTGATCTGGCTGTGATGCTTTGACCCTCAGTGTCCCTTCAGTACCCTGCCATCACATGACCTATGCATTTTCCATTGTTTGTGGCCCTCTGATTAAGACCTTTTTCGACAGGCTGATTACTACTTCAAAAAATTGTGAAAGTATTGCCACATGCTAGCAACATATTGTGGTTTGCCTTTGACGTTAGTTAGATGGCCATTACATGACTTGGGATGTTGAGACTTGGGTTACTGGAGTCAGGCACAATCATGATGTACCCGAATTACCGCACACCCACCTATGCGTTGAGTGACTTGCTGAAAACAACATCTGCTACGCACCACAGGAATTGCCAATCTTATTCTTGTACGTGTCTCTGTGATGTTGGCTGTTTGAAACTCCCACATGACCCTGGCCTGATGGTTTTGAGATTCAGCCTATAGTCAAGTCAAGTCATATTTATTTAAACAATATAAAGTGAAAAGTGACGTGACGTGGCCAAGTATGGTGACCCATACTTGGAATTAGTGCTCTGCGTTTAACCCATCCAAAGTGCACACACACAGCAGTGAACACACACACACCGTGAACACACACCCGGGGCAGTGGGCAGCCATTTTTTGCTGCGGCGCCCGGGGAGCAGTTGGGGGTTCGGTGCCTTGCTTAAGGGCACCTCAGTCGTGGTATTGAAGGTGGGAGAGAGCGCTGTACATTCACTCCCCCCACCTACAATCCCTGCCGGTACGAGACTCGAACCCACAACCTTTGGGTTACGAGTCCGACTCTCTAACCATTAGGCCATGACTTCCCCCAAAGCATATGGGGACATATAGAAGACAATAGTGTCATTATTCCGCTCAATGTTGATTCAATTTAGTTTCAATAACAGTGTCAATGTTTTAAAGTTCATTCATACAGGTCCGGTTCAGCTGTAAAGCAGCTCTGCTGAAGACAATGGTGTCATTATTCAGCTCAAGTCCGTTCAGTGTTGATTCAGTTCAGGTTAATAACAGTGTCGAACATATAATGACACCTACACACAATAACTCTCAGAAAGAAGTTGTCAGTTGTTCATTATGTTGTTTTAACTCTTCCCCCAGTAGATGTTTAGAGCTGCGTGTCCAGCCTGACCTGTAGATTCCCCTTTACATGTGTACGGTGTCCCACGTGACCTACAGAACCCGTAAATGAATGATGTGGAGGGCTCCGGTTTCCCCTCACATACCTGGGAGCTGAAAACAGCACCCGCACTGTGTGTGTATCTTCCGCCTCGGTGTGGAATGAATGTGTGGAAAAGGGAGGCTGTGATTAAACCAGCATAAACCCTGTGTGTGTAGTTACTGATGAGAGAGGCATGCCTGACTTGAGACTGGGATCCTGTGGGTGTATTTGGCATTCTGAGTGTGTGGCCAATTGAAAAGACGCTCTGTGTTTGGGCCTGAATATGCGGACGGTATGTATGGGCTCTCTGAAAACTCAGATACATGAGGGGAAGTGTTTTATAAGGATCGGGTGTGCCTCACACATCCTGAAAAGTGAAGCTGCGGGCTCTTTGATCGCCCCCTGGTGGTTGGCTGCAGTACAGGTCATAAACCCCGCCCTCTCCATGTAAACGAATGGGACTTGAGTCAAAATAAAAAAATAAATTACGCTTCCAATACAATTTTCCGAAAGATGGTTTTGGTTAATTTAAGGTAGTTGTTAACACGCTGATATATTTTCAATTGTTCGTTTTTGTGATAAGTTTGATTTTTGCTAGTAATTTGATGCTATAAAAATTGTTATGGTTGATTGGGTTTGCGGGAGTTTGGGTGGGAGTTTGATACCGCGGCTCCACCTCATGACACTACTGCGCAGACTCTGGCTCCAAACGAATCTCTACTGCGCAGACTCGGGCTCCAAACGAATCTCTACTGCACAGACTCGGGCTCCAAACGAATCTCTACTGCACAGACTCGGGCTCCAAACGAATCTCTACTGCACAGACTCGGGCTCCAAACGAATCTCTACTGCACAGACTCGGGCTCCAAACGAATCTCTACTGCACAGACTCGGGCTCCAAACGAATCTCTACTGCACAGACTCGGGCTCCAAACGAATCTCTACTGCACAGACTCGGGCTCCAAACGAATCTCTACTGCACAGACTCGGGCTCCAAACGAATCTCTACTGCACAGACTCGGGCTCCAAACGAATCTCTACTGCACAGACTCGGGCTCCAAACGAATCTCTACTGCACAGACTCGGGCTCCAAACGAATCTCTACTGCACAGACTCGGGCTCCAAACGAATCTCTACTGCGCAGACTCGGGCTCCAAACGAATCTCTACTGCGCAGAATCGGGCTCCAAACGAATCTCTACTGCGCAGACCCCAGCTCCAAACGAATCTCTATTGCGCAGACTCGGGCTCCAAATGACGTCATTTACTCAAGATGGCAG